CGTATCCAGCCCAGGGCCTGCTTCACATTCATTTACACAGGCGGCCCAGGGCCTGGATTCATTCAACCAACTGGCGCAATGCAACTGTCTGAATTTCCCCGTTGCGGGGTACCCTGAAGAATGAGGCCCGAAGGGCCTGTCGTGCCTGCCTTCACTTAGGGCGGCCGACCTTGTTGCAGATAGGGCCCCGTAGGGGCTAAGTGGGCGTAGCCTCGCATTCCCTCCTCCATATCTTCGTTAGTCCTCTTCGAAGATCAATCTGTAGCCATCCGACGCTTTCCTTTCAGTACATCCTTCTCATAGCGGGCGACGATTTGAGGAGCGGTCTGCATCAGTTCCTCCCGAGTAAACCAGTGGTCCTCCTTCGGATCTGTATGATGTCTGAAGTGGACTCGGAACTGCAGCTTTGGCTTTGGAGGACGTCCCCTTCCTGGAGGCTTTTGAACAGGCATCTCCCTGTGGTCAACGATATCATCGATGTCGACTTCTCCGTCCATGGTTGGGGGCAGCATGGATCGACGAGAGTGAAACTGATCAGTTTCCTTGAATGCAGCGAGCTTAGAGGCGTGAAAGACTGGGTAAGTTCTGAGATGACCAGGGGTACGGATGACATATGATGGACCATCAGGATCTGTCCCTACTATGTCTAACACTTCCCAAGGTCCAAAGTATCGAGGCATGAGTTTGCGGGATATCCCGAACTCCTGTCCCAGTTCTGAAGATTTGACCTACACTCCGTCCCCTACCTGAAATGTCGAAGGGCGGCGGTGTCTATTCTCAGACTCTATCATTGCTGCCTGTGCCTTCTGCATGTGTTCTACAGCCTCCTGCATCTTCTGTTCATATCTTTAGGCGAACTCCAGAGTGCCCGGTGTAGCAGTTGGCTGGTTGTCTAGAAGTAGGAAATCTAAGGGCAGTCTAGGCTTGAATGTCAGTTGTAGACTGTTAGGACTCGTCCCGGTAGCACTGTGCACAACGTTGTTATATAGATTAGCGACTAGAGCAAGCTTTTCGTCCCAGTCTACCTGATTGGGATTGATGTAGTGCCTCAACAGGTGTTGCACAACGAGGTTCATTTGTCCAGCCTGGCCATTAGCTTCTGGATGATTTCCAGAAGTCATCTGCAGTTGAATTCCTTGTTCAGCTGCAGCGGCCTTTTATAATTCACTCGTGAACCTGACGTCCCTGTCACTGACTATAGACTTCGGCAGTCCAAAGTCTCTAAGCCAGTTTTCTTTAAATAGCCTGATCACATATTCGGTCTTTGCTGTTTCTGGCATAGCTATTAATCTAGCAAACTTACTAAACCTATCCACAATGACAAAGATCTGTCTCATCCCATTCTTGCTGGTGACCAGCGTATCCATGAAGTCCATGGTTTTCACCCGGCCTTTCCGGAATCGGAAGGGGCTTGAGCAGCCCAAGAGGAGCCTGAGTACGGGGCTTGTCTCTCTGGCATACTTGACAAGTTTCCACGTACAGTTGTGCATCTTTCATCATCGTGGGCCACGAGAACCGCTGCAGCAAGTTGGCTGCGGTCTTCTTGTACCCAAAATGGTCGGTGGCATCATGACACTCGCCTAAAAACAAACTACGCAAAGACTCGCTATTTGGAACGCACAAGCGTTTATTCCCTGCCTTCTCTAGGAACAGCAATCCATTGACCAACTCAAACTCGGCGGAGGTCTTCTTATCCTTCGCCTCAAGTCTGCGTATGATCTCAGACATAAACTGGTCCTGACGATAGGCTTCCACCAAAGACTGAATAACATTGTCTGTCAGATCGAACTCAGTAATCAGCGCACCTGAGAAGTCCGGTCTGCGCGACAAGGCATCAACGACCTTGTTGTACTCCCCTTTGAGATACTGAGGGTCAAAGTCATATTGCTCAATGACTTCGATCCAACGCTTGAGAGCGTCAGAGAGTACCGGCTGTGTTCTCATCCATCTCAGGGTCTGATGATCACTCCGGAGGATGAAGAACCGCCCAAGGAGGTAGTGTCTYCAATGGGTGAGAGCCTTGTACACCGCATAGAGTTCCTTCTCGTAAGTGGACTTAGCCAACTTCTGAGACGGCATTTTCTTGGACATGTACTCTACTGGCCTCAACTTTGGCCCCTCCTGCTGCGCAAGCACGGCGCCAATGCCATATTGGCTGGCATCCGTTGTAACTATAAATGGCTTGTTAGGATCAGGAAGTTTCAAGACTTCATAGCGCGTCAATGCATGCTTCAGATGTTTGAAAGCAGCCTTGCACTTATCTGTCCAATCCCAAGGGGTGTCAAGGCGGGTCAGATCAGTCAAAGGAGCGGCCACTATGCTGTAGTTCTTAACGAAAGTCCTATAGTAGCCTGTCATTCCTAAGAAAGATCTCATCTCAGTCACAGACTGAGGACGTGGCCAATCACGAATGCTGGCCACCTTCGCGTCATCGGGTTTCAACCCTTCCGCGGAGATCTCATGACCCAAGTACAAGATACGGGTGCGGCCAAACTCGCACTTTTCACCGTTGATCTTGAACT